TTATGTTGTAGTTAGCTACAATTCTACGGTATGTATCATAGTAAGATCTCAGAAAATCTTCTAAAATTAAGCAAAAGTTATATATTAATTACTTGAAAGCAAAAACACAAGAAAGTAAGATTCTTTACAAAAATTATGTCAGAAAGTTTGAAACGCAAAGAAAGAATTTAAAAAAACTGTACTACTCCAATCTACTTGAAATGAACAAACATAATTCTAAACGCACCTGGGAAATTCTATGAGAAGTTACTGGCATGCAAAAAACAAAAACATGCGCACTGCCTGTTATCTTAAAAATTAATGATAAATTTTTGTCCAATCCAACAATGATATGTGATGAGTTAAATAAATTCTTTGTGTCAGTTGGCTCAAATCTTGCAAATAAAATTTTATTTTGTGATAAACAAAATGGATAACTTCAATTTTCCGTTAACTTCGTCTCTAACATCCTTTGAATTATCTTTTGAAGAATTTGAGCAATCTTTTAAAATGCTAAAGTCTAATAAATCTGTCGGTCACGACGGTATATATAGTAATGTGGTCATTGACTCGTATGAGCATTTGAAAGATGTACTATTTAAAGTTTTACACTGTTCAATAAAACAGGGAATATTTCCAGACCATCTTAAAATAGCCAAAGTCACACCAATTTTCAAAGAAGGTGATACTACAAATCTTACAAACTATCGCCCAATCTCTGTTTTACCTGTTTTTTCTAAAGTGTTAGAATCCTATATAACGTAATTTATAATCACTTTTCTTTAAATAATATACTTTATACTTATCAATACGGGTTCAAAAAAAATACATCAACAGAACACGCGATACTCCATATAACTCGTAGTATTTCTAAAATCGTTTGAAAATTCCCAATATACGTTGGGAGTTTTCATAGATTCATCAAAAGCTTTTGATACAATCAATCATCAAATTCTCCTTAAAAAAGTTAAATATTATAGAATTAAAGTAAATGTTTTAAAGTTACTTGAAAGTTACTTAAGTAACCGCAAACAGTTTGTTTATAGTAATGAAGTTAACCCATCTAATTTATTAAACATGACCTGTGGGGTTCTGCAGGGCTCGATATTTGGACCCCTTCTCTTTCTCATTTATATTAATGATCTTCATAAAGCTTCTAATTTGATGTCAGTCATGTTTGCCGATGACACAAACCTCTTTTTGTCTGATAATAGCATAAATACATTATTTCGAGATATGAACATAGAATTAAAAAAATATCTGATTGGTTTAAAATGAATAAACTTTCACTAAATGTTGAAAAAACAAAATGGACACTTTTTCATCCAGCGCACAGTGGAGTATTTGATTGATTTAGGCGGCCAAAACTCAATTTTTCATAACTTCCAAAATAAATGAAAAAACTTATTTTAGCAATGCTGAATGGCTAGTGAATAGTATAAACGTTAAGTAACCGCGAATGGTTTTAACAACAAGCTGTAGGATATATACAAAGTTGATCATTAATTATTGTTTACGTGTTTTCTTTTGGTCGCTTATTTTATTAGCATTTATCAGCATCAAATAAAGTTTAATCAAAATATATTTCAAAGTGTTTTGTGATGAATTCTAATGAAGTTGGTAAAGGTAAATACACTTGAAAAGTTTTAATTAGTTTATTTGGGATTATATATAAGTCTGTTGGTTTTGTAAAAACTCTTTTCTTTCTCTTGTTTTTTGCAATTTTCACTGCAAACTATAAGTAATTAGTTATACTTCCAAGCATTTCCAGGTTGCTGTTTTTTTATTAACAGATAGGCTAATGTTTTTACTTCAATGATATGTAAAAATCACCTGCCATTTTTTGCCATTTTGTTCTCCGTATTTGTTTATTCGCTCTTCCTGTTCTTAAGTGTATGATAGGAAAAGACCAGGGGGTTTCTTGTTTCTGTATAAATTTTTTTTCTCTTTTTTTTCTTTTTTTCTCTGTGTACTTTAAAGAAAGTAAATTATTTTTTTATAGTTTTGATAAAATATATTATCATATATTTTATCAAAACTATAAAATAATTTATTTAATAAAAAAACACTAAACTTCATGTTCAGGTATGTTTTAATTTTAAACGGAGTTTATCTTAGGTTCGTCAGGGAAACGACCCGAAGAATGTTTTCTGATTTAATGCAGAGCCAAATTTTATCAAATATGAATGAGAAATTAATATTTTTAAAACATTACGTATTAGCAAAAGATAATACTCAGACGAACAAATAAAAGAAGTAAAACATAGTTTATCGCAGTTTAGTTACGAGTTAAAACAAAGATGATCAATAGCAAAGTGGGATAAAAATTTGTTTTTAATAAAAAACAGTGATTGGCTAGATGGAAATATTGCAATACCTGCAGTACTGCATCAAGAGAGTAGGCCAACAAAGAACTTTAAAGAATTAAGCGAGAGAAGAAAAACAGAAAACATACGTGCTACCACAAATTCAGAAACTTTAATTTGTGCTGCTCAGGTGGAATTAGGTGTTACAGGAAAAAGAACTGCTTCAAAAATTTTAAAGGACATTATCGACTCCCCAAAGCTGGGGAAAATGTATTAGATAGCATACTCTAGCGTTTTACAGGGAAAAAAATCACAGCTATCGGTATTAAGTGCACTGGCCATGTTTGTAGAAGCTGGTCTTTCCAGAAGACAATATGAAATTAACAGAAGTTCTTGCAAAACATTATATCCTTGCAATAGTATCCTGCAAAAGTAGATTGTTATTCAAATAAGGAATCTTATTATGTCACTGAAACCTGTATTGCAGTCAATTTACAAGATTTATTGGGCCATACCGTTACACGATTGTTCATGTATTTAGAAGAAGTAGTACAAAATTGAAACAAAAAAGAAAGAAATTCATTCATATTAAATTGTAAATGGGGTTGTGACGGATCACAGCAAAATCAATATAAACAGAAATTTCTGAATGCTATATTTGTGGTGCAACATCAAAAGATTTTAATAACTTGACTATTGAAAAAGATGTCAAACCAGATACACTGAAGTTTGAGTTATCAATTTTTTTTTTCTTTTTTTTTAAGTTGATTAAGGTGTCCCAAAGAAGTCCTTACGGTCTTATCACAGAGCACCGCGGAAGAGCATTTAATAGGAAGTTCACGCCTCCTTCCCAACCGATGTCGCAAAACTTTCCCAGAGGTGGGGTTCGAACCACGGATCTTACGTTTCTGAGACAAGTGCGCTACCACTGCGCCACGGCTGCTAATTTTGCATGCCAGGATCCGAATATTTGAAAATTTATTGGATCTATCTGATAAATTGCCTGTTAAAAAATGACAAGCGAGATCAGAAAATCAAAAGTTAATTGTCAAACAAAAAAAACTAGAAATACAATCAAATTTTAGAAAAAAAATAGGTTTAATTGTAGACGTACCTAAGCCTGGATTTGGTAATTCAAATGATGGCAACACTAGCTGACAATTTTTTGCAGACCAAAAGTTGGCAGCTGAAATATTGTGTATAGATTATAATCTAATATATCGTCTTAAAGTAATATTAGAAACAATATCTAGTGAACATAAAATAAATGTCAAAAATTAAGACCATATACTGTAAAAATTGCGGGATTATATATCCAGTTTTACCAAATGGTATCCGATGACCCCTACAATGCATGAAATCCCTTTATTCATGGTTTTATTGTAATAGAGCATGGTTTGCTTCCTAATGGTCAGCTATCTGAAGAAGCAGCTGAATCACGAAATAAATATTTTCGTCTTTACCGTCAAAACAATGCTAGAAAGTTTTCCAGAGAGTCTTGCAACCTCGACGTTTTTAATAGATTACTAATTAGTTCAGATCCTATTTTACCTGGCATGAGAAAATTACCAAGAAAAAATACTAAACCATTCTTAAAAGAAAGCTTGGAGATGCTACTTCCAATTGAACTTTCTAGTTTTACTGATCTTGTTGATACAGAGGAGAAATCTTCAGAGCAATCAGGGATGTCTTCAGAGCAATCCAGAATGTCTTCTGATGAAGAACTTTAGCTTTCGGCATCATCCTTTTAATAGTAGTTATTTTGAGTTAAAATATAAATAGTTGTAAAAATTTTTTTTTAATATATACCATAGTTTAATAAGAGTTACAGAGTAATTGCAAGTGCTTCTAAATACATTAAGTTTAGACTTTCAATTCCGAGTGAAAGTTAGAGGGAGAAAGTTATCCACCATATATAATAGGTTTATATCATGATAAGAACCATTTAAAATAGGTTCTTATCCTTTTTATGATTTAGTAAAGTGTAAAAAAAAAAAGCTGTAGAGAGGGGGGGGGGGTTATCTTCCATAAATTTTTTAAAATCTTTTATTTTCTCTTTTTATTTGGCTTCTCTACCAGCTTTTCCTAAAAAAAGTTAAACTTTTTTAATCATAGATTATTAAATATTTTTGGCCGCCTATATCAATCAAATACCCCACTGTGCAGCGTCTAAAAAAAACTACTTCCTTGTGAACTACCTTTACTTTTTATTGATAAAATCCAAATAAAAAGAGTAATTAGTGCTAATTTTTTGGGTATCTATGTTGATGAAAACCTTAGTTGGAAATACCACATTGAACTCTTTTGTAATAAAATTGCTAAAAGTATAGGAATATTGTATAAAACTAGAGGTGTGTTAAATAAACGTAGCCTAATTCAATTATATTTCTCTTTTATCCATTTTCATTTAAACTATGCAAATGCCAATAAATGTACACTGGAACCTCTTTATCGTCAATAGAAGCATCCCAGTCGAGACGCGATATCAATGTGATATCAGAATGATATCAAAACCTTCTCAAGCTATGATATCATATAATGATATCATAGTGATATCATAACTTTGAGAAATAAAATTAATTTATAGCAGAATTTTTATATAATAGTTACAAAGCACATTAAAAGTTTAGTTTTTTTTTTTTTATATCAAAATTCTAAGTTTTGATTTATGAACTCATATTATGATATCATTATGATATCAAGAAATTCTCATGC